AATAGCAACAAGAGACCTCCAGAAAACTACCTACAGGTAAATATCTGAGGGTATTTATTTATTTGAACACCATAGTTTATTTGATAGACTAGTTATCTGCTAAACACCATTTGCTTCTCCTCTCTGCAAAATGGCAAGACCAAGTTCTAGCATAACAAAACATTTCCACATGACAAATAACTATGAGAAAGACAAATGATGTACAAATAGCTTTAAATCTATTATACATTTCCAGGCATTGTTAGAAAAAGGAAAAAAAAAACCATTGTGACTAAAAAGTGTTTACAAGATGTTAAAAGATCTGATATTTACTATATTGATATTATTTTAAAATGTAAGTATCTAAACAAAAGATAATGGAAGGGTTAAACAAGTTATTTAACATTTATATGACTATTAAAATGAGATTTACATACAATCTTATTAGAATGAAAAAATATTAAGTGATCCTAAATTTCTAAAATGTTCACTTATATTTGTCAGAAGAACATATTAATCTCTATTACCATTAACTATCAATGCAGTGTAGTGGATGAGAAAGAAGGAAACTATAGTGAGTTATATGATGTGCTTCATAACTGAGAAAGAAAACGTTTGAATTTTTGAGACATCTTAAACATTGGGATAACTCCTGTGACAAGATAAGCTAGTTAAAAATCTAGATAAAACTTCAATTTCTAGAAATGAATAGAGATGAGAAAAAACATGAAGTACTACAACAAAGAGGAGCCAGTAATCCTAAATGCTCAGCACACAAGCTGAGGATTTTTTCCTCGCACTTAGTTCCTTTTCCAAAAGAGACTTTCAGTGTTTGCATAACATTATGAAAGGCAGAGTCCAGGAACAAGAAACTCTAAGAACCAAAACAGAAACACTCTCCAATCATGATAGCGCATACTGCCTCACATGTTAGATCCTAAATAAATGGTAGCCATTATTACTGTTGTATCAGTATCCTAATTATTGTTCTTTTCTAAATCTTCCACACTCATCTCAATTGCTCTAAATAGCAACTGCTCTCTTACAGACTAGGTATCAGTATCTCATTCCTTCCATGGATGAGAAGAATGAAATTCAGAGGCTTGCTGAGTTGCCTGAAGAACTCTAGTTCTGATTTTCATTAAGGCTAACCTTTCAAGTAGATGTCTGGTTTTTCCTGTTTCTGATATCTCTAATTTTAGCACTTATAATCTCACCTGTTATGCAATGCAAATGTGTAAGCATAAATTAAGAAAATGAACATATTAAAACCTAAGATACACAGCCTGGCCAATTCATATTTTCATTTGTTTATTTCCTGCCTCCTGAATAAACCGTAGATAATTTTACAGTATGTTATGCTAAAAGTTAAGGTAGATGATTATTCACTAAGAATTCTTAGTTGATATAATATTAAAATTATAGATAAAACTTCTGTCAATACCTACTATATCAAGATTACAATTATTCCATGGAGTTTGTCCCAAATTGACATTGATTCTTTCATCAGAATGCCCTGGACCAGTGGATGTGATAATGCATAATCTGGCTGTGCAAACATATTTTATACTATAAAAGCTATTAGGGTACCAGCAGATTTTCATATAGTTAATAAGGTAGATATGTTTACATATTTTAAAAATTTTTCATAAAGATATTAAAGTATAAGACTTGCCTTTCATATGAATACTCAATTGTTATAGTGGAATTATTCTCACCAAAACCTAAGGACAAGTGTTGTTTTTATCCTATCCCAGGAAGGGAATAAGAGAAATACTTCAAGTGTTTTGGGTTTATCCCAACAGACATTAGAATGCTATTCCTCATCTTTTAATATATTCTGGGTCCAAAGATAAAGAACATGCAAAACAGTGAGTCTGACACATCCACCTCTAGATGGCGAGCACCATGTCCTCTCCTCTTGCTATTTTTAGTATCTATTAAATTACATAACAGGGGCACAGTGAAAGTTTGTTATTTTTGGCCCAAATCTATCTAACTATTATTTCACTTATCAAACTTGGATTTTTCTAACTTAGGGTTAGTGTCCTATTGAGGTCAGTTACCAGTTTATGAAAAATATTTGCTTCTTTAAATAATATGGTTTAATATTCAAATTATTTTTTAAAAGAAAAAATAAGCCAAATACATAGGTTTAGAAAAATTTAGATATATTCCTGAATATTCTCAAATTAGATGGTTTGGTAATATTACCAAATTAGCTTATTTCCAATGCATTGAAAGTACAAGTTCAGTTCATGTAAATTTTTTCAATGTTCAAATACCAAGTGTTAGAGTAAAGAAAAAAGGAGCTGGAAGGGAGCAAGAAGAGTAGGGTTATGTACATGAACGTGACAACTTCTGCCCTCCAGACACTTGCAGAATGTATATTTGGTGCTTTACAAGATTCTGTAATTTTAGACTTCTTTATAATACACTTCCCTTTATTAACAATAGTTGAGAACAGGCAATTTGGTTGCTTGAATAATCCGATTAACTGGGAAGTGTCGAATATGTCATGTTTAATTTTTAAGGATTGTAATAAAAGAGATATCAGAAACACAAAAATACAGAATTGCTCATACTAGCTCAGCATCATAATTCTCACAAGTTTGGTTGACTATTTCATTTATTAATTTTCAATAAGTATTTGAACATATTTTATGTGTAAGACACTGTACAAGAATACAAAGATAACCATTCCTTCACTCATTCATTCACTTAAAAATTAGTTGACTGCTTTGAGAAATATTTATTAAGTCCCTATGATGTTCCCTATGACATTGAATGATCAAGCACTATTCTTAAGAACTGTATAATGTAGTAAGGGAGATAAATTCTAGCTAAAACATTTCCAGAATAGGATATATTATGTTAAAAACTCAGTAAAAGATAAAATGCATTAGGAATTCACTAGCTATAATAACAATATTTCTGGGCTTACCTGTCCATTTGTATTTCAAAAACCCAGTGATATACTTTTTCTTAAGGTAATATCTATTTATGGTTTCACCTTGTGTAAAGCTGGCAGAGAGATCCTTTAAAAATTTTACTTCTTGGGTAATATTATTTGTATAAATGTCTTACCTGATTTTTGAAATAGTATTCTAGCTTGCATATTCTAAACTCACCTAACTAACGTTTCAAAATGTACTCCTTTTTTCTAGTATTTCAAAACTTGGCAAAAAGAATATTAATCTTATCTATGCCTTCTACAAGTTTATAAGATTTTTTTCACATAAGAGGAGTTCAATTTCATATTTTCTCAGGCAGTAACCCTTTTTCTTAGGTCATTTGATAAAAAGGTATTCACTTCTTAAGTTCTACTGAATATAACTTAATCTTTCTTGGATGATTTAGAAATCATTTTAGGATGTTTTACAGTGACTTGGAGTCATTGCTGTCAATAGCTGTGGGTATAGGATGCGGATGGCATTAAAATTGGATTAGATTAAATTGATGGCAGAACTGGGTCATGCCCCAAATGCTACCTCCTTAAATATATCGATTTTTTTTTATCATTTTTTATTTCTCTAAATTAAATAATGTACAAATTATACCAAGGCTAATTTAGGTTCACAATAAATTAGAATTCACTTTGTCTACATGAGTGAAAGCACAGAGCTACAGTTTTATGTTTAATACACTTTTAATTAGTTCTGTAACAATAGAAAGCTAAGCAAAGTACTTACATTAGCTGCACCGAGAAGTATTAATGTAGGGCCAAGACCTATAGTATATATTGACCTGAGCATGACTGACACAAGAAAGGGCCGGATACCCACAGGCTTGGAGAAGAAAAACAGCATAGACGTGCAGATCGCAACTGCTATCCACAGAAGGACTGAGAACAATGGAGAGAGGGTACCTGTAAAATGTAGAAGAAATTTATTTTCAATGAGAATAAAACTAGAAAATGCTGAAATACTTGCTCCTCTATTTGAGCAAGTCAAGCCATGATGCACTGAAACAAAACTCTATATTCTAAGGAAATGTCTTTGAACACATTACTTACTGCATTACTAGAAAGTTTGTGATTAATTTCAAGCTATTTACTCACTAGTTAACCTCCTTCTATTAAGTCTGAGAATTCTCCTCCTGTCTCACCTCTGGGAGTAATTTTCTAAGTGCTTTCCATAGACCCATCTCACTTGGAAATCCTAATTCAAAATTTATGATTAATGACTGTTAGGGGTATAGCTAAATCATGAGAAATCAGGCAACTTTTTCATTGAACTCATATTTTGTTTTGCTTCATTATTACCAAGTATCCATATTACATTTTCCTCTAAAAACAATCCAGTATGTAGAATACCTAATTTTGTTTTTATGAAATAAAGACAAGTTTGAACTGTTACAACACACACACACACACAGGTGTCTACGTCTGAATGTATATGTATGAGTGTGAGAATCTGAAGTCCAAAACAAGATTTAAAGAAAACGTAGAGCTATGCAATCATCAGAAAATAAAAAGTTTTTAAAAATGAACTCCATTACAAACAGAATTTCTCAGAAACAGCCCACAAAGGAGGTTTAAAAATATCTTTCTTTTAAAAAGAAGTACAATTCAATGACATTTGCACTGACATGCAGAATCAAGGAATCTTCTGAAGGTTGTGTGTGCTCCATCTGCAGAAGTCAATCAAGGGGCAACATTCTTGGGCTGATTGGATCAGCTCTGGAACTTCAAACTCCTGTCCATAGGATGACATTGCCATAGGGGATACAACAAAATGGAGGTTTTCCCACAAATTCCTTTAGTAACTATTCCATGATGACTCTTATTCTTTTGGCCACACCTGTTTTTATTATTTTATAAATTTATTTCTGCATGCAAAACACCTTGAGTGCTTTGGGGTGGAGAGCTTTTGTATTATCACTGAAACCCTGGGTTATCTGGCCTCCTTTAATGGAATTCTGTATAGACTTTAGTTCACAGGGCTAATAAATTTCAAAAATAGACTGATACTGTCAGATGTTGTGTTAGTCAGCTTTTCATCACTGTGACCAAAATACCTGACATAAACAACTTAAAGGAGGAAAGATTTATTTGAGCTTGTGGTTTTGAGCTTCCCTTCCAAGGACAGTCAGGTCCATTGCTTCGGGCCTGAGGTGAGGCAGAACATGATGGCAGAAGGTGAAGTAGAGCCACTCTGCTTACCTCATGGCAGACAGGAGGCAGACTGAGAGAGAAGGAGGTTGGGGACAATACATGCTCAAGGGCTCACTTCAACTACGTCCTACCTCCCTAAAATGCCATCAAATTATCAATTCACTGTTGAGGTCAGAGCCCTCATGCTCCAAACACTCCCCCACAGTCGCATCTCTGAATGTTGCTGCCTTGGACACATGAACCTTGGGTGGGAGCATCTGATGTTCCAGATACAAATCATAAAAAAAGTTCACAACAAACAAAAAATATCAGTGAAGAGCATTAGTTTAGACATTAACTTCTGAAATGCTTGTTTTTTATCATGTTGTCTCTTGCTATAGTCTGCATACAGTATGAATGTGTTCCCCAGAGATTCACAGCCTGGAAGCCCGGGCCCCGGTATGACAGTGTTGAGGTGGTAAAATTTGTAAGAGGCAGGGCCTACTGCAAAGTAATTAGGTCATGAGGGTACTGCCCTGGGAAGGAATTGATGCAGCTATCACAGGACCAACACAGTTCTCTCCAAATCAGTTGTTATAAAGTGAGGCTATCCTGCGGGCAGGGTTTTTGCACACGGTCATTGGTCATTTCCACATCCACCTTTCTGTAATGTTGTGAGTTATAACATGTCATGTTGTGACGAGGGCCCTCACCAAGGGGTGAACAGATAGGACCATCCAATCTTGAACTCCAAGTCTCCAAAACTGTGAGCTAAATAAACTCTCTCTCTCTCTTTTTTTTAATGAAGTACCCAGCATCAGGTATTTTATTATAACAATACAAAATAAACTAACACATATTTTATAGCAAACAATGATGAAAAAAGATTGGGAAGAGAGGTTTGATCTCCCCCATCATCAAATTTATCTGGCAAGATTAATTCAGGGATTGGGAAAGAAAAGGGGTAAACTTCCTGAAAGTTCCATTCAATTTCTGTTTCCAGTGTTAACAAAATGGACATGCTACTTGTGTTTATTTTGATATTGGCTTATAATCATTTTGTGTCTACCAAAACAAAGCCCAACCACCAACTGCCTTGATGTCACAGATCTCAATGAGAAAAAAAAAAATGCCTTTAGGGTCCTCTTATCCTTATTAGGACTTGGGTCTCCTTTAGAATGCAAACCCTAAGGAAGAGGGCCATCTCCAGGTCTGTCACAGGGCTTGTCTTGAAGCAATAAATTAAAGTTCATTAAGTAAACAAACAGAAACATACTCTGTGAGTTCATTTTAAGTAGGCAGTTAAGTCTCTTTATAAACACTCCAAGTTGTAAAGCTTTACTTTCAAGTATATCAAAACCGCCAACATCTTCAAGGCACATTTAACAATTTTCTGTCAATCATGTGACTCTTCAGTGTCATTCACAATGTCTTGGTATGACATTCTTGAAGTCCCAGATTTGGCACAGATAGCCACACTGGGTGTTAATGCCTGATAAGGTAGCCACATCTTTACTCCTCTCCATATAGTATCAAGCTTGGTGAGATTTCCTCCTGATTATACAAGAAATTAATAGCCATGTGCTTAAAATTGGTTGCTTTCTAGAAAGAATTCCAAGAGTGTCTCACACAGCCCCTTGTACATAGTTTAATGATGAATAATACATCCTTGAGGAATGAATTTAGAAGCTTAAAATTTATTTTAAATGACTATTAATTGATAATGATAACTGTAATTTTATCTTCCATAAGAATGATCCTATTGTTTTCTATCTGAAGATTCAACACGAAAAAAAAAAGAAAAAGAAAGAAAGGAAATTAAAATATAAAACGTCTCTGACAAACTCTAGAACAGATTGTGCAGATTTTCAAAGCCAATCCTTACCCATTAAGGGGGAAGGTTATCTGTCTTCTCAGTACAGTATATTTCTACCAATTTTCTATAAGGAGCATGTATAATATTTATAATGGAAAATATTTTTAGAAATCCCCCTATACATTTTTAAATCTTAGAAAGTAGGAAGGTAAGCCTTTATAAAAGAAATTTTAGGCAGCAAAATTGGAAACTCAATTCAGTTCACATAATGGAACGCTGCTATCTACCTCAATCTACCTCATGCTAATTTGTTTATGGCTTCCTGTATAGAGCAAGCTGCTTCTTACTTCTTGGTCTCTCTCCATGGCCTCTGCCTCCCACATAGGTTCATAAGACTCTCCTGTTTTTTTTTTTTCTGCCTAGTCCATCTAAAGTAGACATCCATCCATAAATCCATGGGTTTTCCTTGTGTCTTTCTCAACTTTTGCTCCTTTAATCATACCAAGAACTTCTTAAGGACAAGGACAGTTTTCCTAATATTAGAATTTCTAGGATCTAGCATGCTGCCTGAAATTTGGTGGTACCCCATCAATGCTTATGCTTATTAAATTGAATGCACTGAAATACCTTGAAGAATTTATTTATTTTTTTAACACAAAGCACTTGTAGGGAAAAATAATTACCTACAAAATTGAAATACACACACACACACACACACACACACAAACATACTCATTTTTATAAAAATCACATGCTATCTTGCTATAAGAAATTCCAATGGCAAAATTCTCTCCACTGACTAGTCTGCTTTTGCCAAATGCAGTCCTGGGCAGAGAAAATTGGCATGGCCATCTTTAATTTCTGAGCAGATATCCAGGAGATTTCCTAGCATCAACAGCTGCTGTGCTAGCCTGAGATGAGAGGACATTCTCTATCTGGAGTAGAGGACAGAGGGTACTTTTCAAGTTGTCCTCTAAGAATTGTCTTCCCCATAATATCTCCCTTTAATTACTGTATACCAGTGCCATGGCCAAAGGGGAACACTATTCTCTTAGTTAATATTGTATCCCCATTGTAAAGCAGACTTGAGGCCTAAGAAATCCCCAGTGGCTCTGTTGTTATCAGGCTGGAAAACACACCTTGAGAAAGCATCAACAGCCCAGTCCCTCTGCCAGCCCCTCAGCTGTCATGCTCCCATTGGTCTCTGTGGCTCTAAAGTAACATGCATTAAGGTTTGGGGTTGGAAAGTGTCGCACACATTAATCAGAGGTCTCCTTTTTGGCTCAAGATTTATTAGGAGATTTCATGATGAACATGATCAATATCTACACACAAAATTATGAGGATCTCAGGGTAAAATAGATCCCCTATATTTATTTACTTATTTTTCATTTTAAACTTCATTTGCAAACTCTTTAAGACATATGTAATAGTTGCAAAAATAACGCCAAAAAAAAAGATCCTCCATACCTTTTACCTAAATTCCTCAACGTCAACACCTTATATAACCAAAGATCAACATCATTGATAAGGCATTTTTTATCTAACCTACTTGACCAAAGTTGGCCATATGCCCAACTAAAATCATTTTTTGGGGATCACGATGCATTTAGTTGTCACATCTCTTTCATCTCTCTGTTTAAAAAAATTTTTTTTGTAGTTGTAGATGGATGGAGTGCCTTATTTTATTAGTTTATTTTTATGTAGTCATGAGAATTGAACCCAGTACCTCATGCATGCTAGACAAGCACTCTGCCACTGAGCTACAGCCCCAGCCCTCTTTCATCTCTCTTAACTTGGATCATTCTTTAATTTTTGTCTTTCATAAGCCTCATAAGAGACTGAGGTTGTGGCTCAGTGGTAGAGCACTAGCCTAGCATGTGTGAGGCGCTGGGCTTGATTCTCAGCATCACATTAAAAAAAATAAATAAACAAAATAAAGGTATTGTGTCCATCTACAACTAAAAAAAAGAAATTAAAAAATAAGCCTGATAACTTTAATTATTATAATAATGACTAGCTGATTATTTTATAGAATGTCCCTGATTTGGAGTGTGTCTGAAATTTCCTCAGTTTACTCATCATTTTTGGCAAATGATGTTATGTCCTTGTTGGTGCCTTTTGTCAGAAGCCACATGATGTCACCATGTCTCATGAATGGCAACATGAAGATTGAATGCTTAAAGTGATTTCTCCACTCTAAAGTTACCACTTTTCCTTTTGTAATTGGTAAGTATATCGTGGGGAGACACTTTAAGATTCTGTGAACATCCTGTTTTCATCATATAGTTACTCCTTATTTTTAGCACCCATTATTGATTCTTACTGCTGTGATGTTTGTCAAGTGGTGATATTCTATTTCCATCATTCTGCCTACATTTTATTAACAGGAATACTATTATAAGGAAGAATTCTTTTTTCTCACTACAAATATGGATTCCTGGATTCTTTTTTTATTCCATGAGTTATAATGTGTCACTGTCAATAATTTTTTCTCAAAGTTTTCTCAGATTTGGCGACGAGGAGGCCTTTTAAGTTGGATCCTGTGTTCTTACACGTCCCCATCATTTTTTTGAGCACATCTTAGAAGAATTTTAATGGTCACATAATCCATCTTTTAATGACTTCAAAGTGCTCCAGGAGAGTAATGGTTCAGCCTGTTCGAAAAAATTCAGCATCAAAGAGCTTTCACCACCAGCACAGAATTCTTCTCCAGACAGTTCTGGTGGCCAAGTGTAGTTATCAGCCTTGACTTTCCTTCCTTGGCCTTCCTAGAGATGCAGAGTGTGCAGCTGAAGTTTGGAGACTATGCTGTGACCTAGATTTCAACCTTGCTCATGGAGTAATAACTAAATCACTCATCTGGAACTCTAATCTGATGACCAGACTCATCTTGGGGTTCTACATTGCCCCTTTCTTCTAAATGCCAAACCCACACCCAGATAACTTTGAGACTGAGCCTCTCCTCGGTTGCTACTGTTAGTTCCTTTTCAAGGGAAAGTTTGCATCTGCAGCTGATGATGGGGCACCATGTTTTCCAGGCTCGTGTTTTTTAGTCCTATTTCTTTTGGAGTCAGGAGAACAACTCCAAACCCATCTATACATGTGGTTTTCAGTCTTTGTTCAATGATTAGTCACATCAGAAACACCTTGAGAACTTATTTTTAAAATAGAATTATTAGGCAAATCTGAAACAGAACAAAGTACTCACTTTACAGGTTTTGTCAGGAAGATTCAATGAAATTATGTATGTAAAGTGCTGAGCATTTTGCCTGACCCAATCTAAATGGTAAATGACATCAGCCACTATTATTATTATCAATATTACTATTATAACTATTATCAGTCAGGTTAGTATTAAAAATACATCCGGTGTTCTGCTTTCTCCTGAATGAGTAAGGAACAGTGGTCCAGGTGGATGGCATTTCCCAACACCATTTCATGCATAATAGGTGGCAGCAAAGGCTGTACACCTCATCTCTGCTGGTCATGTCAGCGACATCACAGAATGGAACTGAGGGGACATGAGGTCATGTATGAAGGAGCACCTGCTATCTACATGCTTCCAGTACAATCTTTCATGAAGAAAGGTCCCAGATTAGAAACAAAAGGTTTAGACTTCTACTCTGAGATCAGCCATGTTTGCCTCTCTGGGTTTTCATCTCTGCATCTGTCAAATAAAGGTTTCATACTGGATGAATTCTAGAGTTGCATCCAACTCTAAAACTTTATGCCTCTATTAACTGGGACTCTGCCACCTAGTCTCAACAGTCTGTGTACAGATGATAGTGATTTATCATTTCATGCTGGACTTCTCTTGTCACAAGAGTTACACTCCTCAGGTGCCAAGAGTTCACATTAAAGGAGATCAAACACAGGGCCGAAGAGGCAGGCCGTTTCCACTTCCTAGTGCAGTATGGATGGCCAAAGAGTTGCTACAGTTTTCACTGATATTTAACTCACACATCCACTTTATTGACAAATATTCTATCATTGGCAATGTCTTCTAATTCTAACGAAAGAAAACTTTTTTTCATGACCACACAAATTGTAGCTAAAGGTTAAGACTTCAATATTTTTGTTATCTATAATGGACTTGTAAAATAGAAAATTTCTCCGGGATTCCCATTTTTTGTCTCACTTCCAGTTCATCGGAAATGAGCTTAAATATCTGTTGCTTTCATCATAACACCTTTCCAACAGGCTTCCCTTGGTAGCATGAACATACTGTGCCTTATAATAACCACAACTCAACTTTATCAGACGCTTAAGGAGTTGCTATAGGTAAAGCACTATTCTAAATGCTTTACCTATAGCAACTCCTTAAATTCTCACAATAATCCTGTAAATACAAAGCACTTTATAATTATCATTTGAGATACAAAAATATTTCAGTTATCACTTGCTAATTTTTTCATGCCCCCCCACTCTTTCCATGCCCACTGCAAAGACATTTACTTGTTTCCCTCACTTGTAACATATTTTTCCATGTGCACTGTCAAACTCAAACAAAATTTATTTCTCAAAACCCTTAAGTATATTTCTACCTTATTTCCCATTTCACTTAAAATGGTATTTATCTCACCTTTACCCTTATAAAACCACATGCATTATTAGTTTAATAATACTAATTTCATAGTCAATATCCTTTATTCTCTATTATTATATTCTGTCTTATACTGTGCATTTTAAAGACCAAGGTTATAAATATTCAACTTTCTATATTATTATATATAATATTATAGAATCAAAACCAAAAAAATATAGGTTGCATATATGTGCATGTATATCTGAGATTTCTTTTGTAAAATTATATTCCTCTTGACCACAGTTTACTGAACACTCTACTTACCATCATGCTTTCAATAACAGAAAAATTTATTTGACAATAATTAAACTTTCCTTATTTCAGAGCTGTTTTAAGGAACTTATGTAGTATATTAATTTTAGAATTTTAAAACATTGATCATTTGAAGAGACAAGCACTTGCCTTCATCTCCATCATCCCCAAATGGGTAGAAGAGAGCAACTGCTAGATTGATGAACACGGCCAGGTTGAAAGAAATGCTCCCCCAGAGAGAGATATGTCTCGAGAACCAGAACAGAGCAGGGTTGTCTGGAAGCAGGAAGTGCAACGGGTCAGAACAGAAAATAAATCTGGATTTTAACAGGTAAGTCTAACTGAAATAATATTGCATTAAATCCATTTTTGTCAACTACTATAAAATCATATTTAAGTAAACATCAATTATGTCTTAATTTATTGAAAATAATGAATACCACAGGGAGATTTCTATTTCATTCCTTTTTTTTATCCTTCAGCCAGTTTACACCTACCCTGCAGTAGAAGACTGAGTAATTTTGCAATTACTAATGGTGGTCAGAAAAGGTGGTTCTGGCTAGGTGCAGGGGCTACTTGGGAAACTGAGGCAGGAGGATGGCAAGTCCAGCATGGGACATTTAGTGAGGTCTTGTCTGAAAATAAAAAATAAAAGGGCTGGTAGTGTGGCTCAGTAGAGTGCCTCTGAGTTCAATTACAATTAAAAAAAATAAGTAGAAAAGGGGATTCTGTACTCTATCCCCAGAACCAATTAGGGGGGAAGGCAGCTTAGCAGCTGTCTGAGGTCCCTTTTAATGAAATGGTATACATCACTGTACAATTTGGTAACCCTGATGAACTGGTCCCATTCCCATGCCTTAAAAGTAAAAAACAAAAACAACAATAACAAAAGACCCTAGCACAGGTACATCTACAATGAAAATTCCTATGACACAGCTGTAGTTGCCTAAAATCGGAAACATAATGCCACAGCACAGTACTGTTTACTGAGAACAAGTGATTTATACTATCTACATTTTAAACCACAATACTTAACAACTTGTTGGGTTTGAAACGGCAGAAAAAGATGAACTCTGCAAAAAAGAAATATCTCTAAGTGGGAGAGAGACTTTGCAGAACATTTTTAGAAACGGGACTCCATGTCTGTTATCAGAAATGAATTAGTAAACACATCTACTGAATGTCATCTACCTTAACGGAAACTCACTTCTTTCTTTCTTTTTTTATTTGTTCTTTTTAGTTATACATGATAGTAGAATCTATTTGGATATATTCATACAAACATGGAACATATCTCATTTTAATTAGGATTGTGGCATGCATTTTTAGATTCTCCTAGTAGCACGTTTGAAAGAAGTCAAGAAAGAAATTATTCTCCCTTAGCATTTTACCACATAGAACCATAAGGAATAAAGTGATATTTTATTTCAGAGGTTCACTGTGGTATATTTATATTCATCCATAGGAAAGTTTGTCAGATCCATTTTACTGTCTTTCCTATTTCTTATCCCTCCTCCCTTTTCTTCATTCCCCTTTGTCTAATCCTCCAAATTTCTATTCTTTCCCTCCTCCAACCTTGTTGTAGGTAAGCACCCACATATCAGAGAGAACATTTGACCTTTGTTTTTTGGGGATTGGCTTCTTCCAGTTAGCATGATAGTCTTCACATCTATCCATTTACTGGTGAATGTCATAAAGTCATT